CCTTCCCCCAAGCTAAGTTGGGGAGCCACCTCAGAGAGTCTGGGAGGCTCACATGGACCACAGACACCTCTCCCCCTGCCTGCTGACCCCAGGACCTCCTCTGCTAGGAGCAGCACTCAATCCAGGCTCCAAAGATCCCCAACTGGCACACTCCACCCCTGATCAGCCACAGGAGGGGTTAAAGGTTAAGCAAGGCCTCAGCACGCCCCCACCCCGGCTCTGAGGGCCACCTTGGTGGCATCACTCCCAACCACCCTCAGCACCAGCTGGCAACTGCCACACCTCCAGGCAACTCCTCCTTGGTCACTGCATTCCGTCTAGGCCAGGGTCCTGGTACCAGCATCCTTGCTGGGCCACCTGCACAGAGCACCTGGAAGCCCGGGCTGAGCAAAGCAGCCTGGCCCAGAGGGGCCACTCCTCCTGGGCCCCATTCCCTGCCACCATCTCTCCTCCCTTCACGCAGAGCCGGCAGGCACCTGTGGTCCAGGCCAGGGGCCCAGCTCCTTAGTCGGTGGGGGCTAGGGTTAGGGTTAGGGTTAGGGGGGAGAGCCTGAGAGGCCCTGACCTTGCAGGGAAGAAGAGAAGGGAGGTACGGGCTCAGGGGGACAGGATCCTCCCAAAGACTTGTGGAAGAACCGGCGGCAGTGCCAGACGCCTTGAGGGGCAGGTCTGAAGCTGCCTGGGGTCGGAGGAGGACAAAGTGCTGTGCATCTGTGATGGGGGTGAGCGGTGGGAGGCAGGCGCTGACACCTTACACCCATGGCTTGAGAACATTCTGGAACCCAGCAGGGGAGGGGCGTCCCGTTATCCATGCCCCACCCCGCCCGCAATTAAAGGAGCAGAAAGGCACATGTGTCTGCACAGGCCTGTGGTCCGGTGGGGGGCGTTGGGGAGGGCTGGGGAGCCACCGACTGGCTGGTTGTAAGGACGCGACACCCCAAAGGGCGAGCTGCCCGCTCAGAGGCCGAGCACAGTGCCTCCTCAGCTACCCGGGGGTCGCTCCCCCGGAATGACCCGCGCGGCTTCAAAAACTGCAAGGAGCCCTTCGGGTCCACGCACAAAGCTCAAGAAACTGCAAATACGTGTCTTATCTGCACGTCGGCGACTTCAGGCGTTCCTGGTCGTCCCCTAAACGCCGCTGGCTCCGAGCAGCCCTGTGGTCACCGACGGCCGCCGCGCGGGCCGAGAGGCGCCCGAGACCCGCGGGCGGACGCAGGGAGCGCGGGGCCTGCCGGGACAGCGCCGAGCGGCTCTAACTCGGCGCACCTGCCGGCGCGGGGCTGGGGGCGCAGAGGGACAAGGACCCGCCCAGCCTCCGCTGGCGGCCTAGCCCCAACCCAGGGCAACGGGAGGGCTCCCGGGGCCAGGGGCCAGAGGTCCTGGCAGGGGGCTCTGCCGCGGCTCCTACGCAGAGAGTAGACGCGGGGGCGGGGGCACGGACCTACAGGTAACAGCGTGCTGGTCTCCAGTCGGATGAGAGGTCTCCAAGTGACAGGTGGGTGGTCTCAAGGTGACAGGCAGGTGGTCTCCTGTCAAATGAATGGTCTGCAGGTGATAGGCAGGTGGTCTGCAGGTGACAGGGTGGTGTTCTCCAGGTGACAGGCAGGTGGTCTCCAGGTGACAGATGGGTGGTCTCCAGCTGTTTGGCCCTAAGGGCACTCTCAGTCAGCTGAATGGGGAATGTTCTTCTCTGTTGCTAGTTTCGGGGGAACACACAGTCTCATTTCAGCTTACTGAACATGAGACAAAGAACCAGGAGCTGGAGGAGCAGAGTCTGGCCTAGTGACAAGTAACCCGGGAAGTATCTAGGGGTCTCATGGGGTTTCTGAGGAAGGACCAACTTCATCTATGTCATTCGGGGAAGTCTTTGCAGCAAACCGTCTCCCAAAATGTTTTGAAAAACAAGAGATTTGTCCGGCTTCCTGTTTGGGGGGGTTTTTTTGCCCATGTTACATGGCATGTGGGATCTTCCCCAACCAGGAATCAAATCCATGCCCCTAGCACTAGAAGCTCAGAGTCTAATCACTGGACACTAGCAAAGTCCCCTGTGAAACTTCTTAACTGCCCCTGTTTTCTGGGAGCACAGGCTCAGAGGGGACCCGACCCAGACACCCTGGCTGTTCCAATATTTCCCAGGGGAACCCATGTCCCCTGGGCCCGGCCCAGCCGGGGAGCACAGCACTGCCCTGAGCCCACAGCGGCCCCTGCTGGAGGGAGGGAGTGGGTGTCCACACAGGTCTGAAGAGGGAGCTGAGTCAGCCCCAGGCACTATGCCCTCAGCAGCCCCTGGGCATTTACCCCGAGGGCCACATGGGCTCAGCAGAGAGTAGAGCCTCAGAGCAGCTACGAATGGCACAGCCCTGGTGTCCCAGTGGCCCAAGGGCTCTGTGTGGCACACCTGGCCTGGGGCCCTAGCACAGTCCCTTTCCCAAGCCTCGTTTTCTGGGCCTGTTCCAGAGAAGCGCATGCTCTAACCTCTGACTGCTGCATCTGTTCCCACAGGGCGACAGCACCTCTGCATCGTCCGGGACCACTCGAGTTCTGAGCCACAGCAGGTTCGGCTTTACGTGTGTCCCCACAGCCTCCTGGCTCAGCTGGGAAACAACCACAGGTGCCATGTCCACACACCAAAGTGTCTTTGCTTTTAGCCCCTCGGGTGCAAAATCCATCCAGAGCACAGTGCTAGTCCTGGCCTCTTAAACAGGGGTGCTGCTTGTCACAGGCGCTGTCACAGTCAAGGGCTGGGACTGTCCTCCAGCCGGCACATCCCTTAGCGTGCAGCGGGTTGTCACAGCTTTCGGCTTTTGTTCCCCAGACAGGGCGCTGCTCTGACCGAGAAGCTCGTCTCTCTACTCCACGTGCCCAGACCTCTGGCCCCAGCCCAGCTCTAGTATTTTTTTATACTCTCTGGGGGTGGAACTGCTATTCTGAAAACCGGGAAATAAAAATTGGAGCCAGTGAGGGGCTTCAGAGGGAGGGGCTGATGCATGCCAGGTTTGGGGACCCGTGGACCACCCGACAGAGCTCCAGAGAGCCACATGTCAAATTAAGCCAGAAGCACAGCTCACTCCGGGAGTTGGGGCAGCAGCCTGGGGTCCTCTCTGACTTTCACAAGTTCCTTTTTTCCATCTGCAGAGAGGTGAGGTGCCTAAATTAACTTATTTCCTGACTTTCATGTGTGTCCTGGGTAGGGGGCAATAAACAGTTAACCTCCCTGTCGATGAGATGTTCCTACACCAAAAAAAGACAGAAAGGGAGCAGTTCAGACAGCGAGACTGGTACAGTGGTAAGGCCAGAAGTCTGGTAACAGGTACCCTCACTGAGCCCTGTCTTAGCTGGGGTGGGGCGGCCCAGCGCAGGTGTGCAGGGTGACCAGAGAGGTATGGAGAAAGGCCAGGACCAGCACCAAGACCTTGACCCAGCAGGCCGTCTGCAGCCATGGGAGATGCTCACACCCAGGCAGCATCTGTCTTGGAGCTCAGCCACAAGGTCAATGAGAGGGCACCCTTCCTCCAGTGAGGCCCCGTCTTCTCATCAGCCCCCATCTGTCCCTCGGCTCTCTCTGGGGACAGAGTCCCACCATGGCCCAGCTTTCAGGATGCCCTTTCTCCCTGCCCAGTGTACTCCCTCACTCCCACCTCCTTCCATCCTGGAGGTCATACTCAGGCCACCTCTGGACACACAGACCTCCTCCCAAACAAGTGTCCATGGAAAATCTGCTTTAATGGGCATCACGGTGGCCAAGAGGTAAATAATCTCAGAGGGAATGGGGCTGGGCTCAAGACGCTGTGCCTTTGTCCTAAGGAGCTTTGTGGGCAGGAGCTCAGGGACTCACCAGTGGGGAACAGGTGACCCCCTGAAGGTCTTCCTGGCCTCAGTTTCCTCATACATTAAAACCGACACAATTGGAGGCCCCCCTTGACAGGGTCATTGCCGGGGTAAAAGGGCTGCAGATAGGAGGCTGGCCCAGGGCCCAGAGCCCTCACCCATCAGTAAGGACCCCCAGGGAGTGTGGGGGGATGGCAGCCATGGACGGCGGGGTGTGGGGAGGGGGAGCAGCCCAGCAGTGGCTCACTTGGGGCTGCAGTAATCCAGACCAGGCTTGTCATGTGACCATGGCCACACGCACTCACACCAGCTCTCTCTCCTTATTGGTGGACAGCAGGGTGGGCAGCTATGTGTCCTAATGGAAGGCTGGGCATCAGTTCGTCCAGCTTAGCTGCCACCTTCTGGCAGGTAAACAGGCCAGGTCCTGGCCAAATCACGTGGTACAAGGCAGGCCACCCCCAGGGTCCTTGACCTGAGGGCTGGTGCAAGGATCCTGGGTCCTGGCCATCTACACGTGGCCCTCAGTCCAGGCTCCACTGGTTCTTGGCGTCAAAGCAGAGGTGACTGTCGTTGGTCTGCATCCCTTGAAACCACTTACCACATGGAGCAACTGCAGGGAATTGGCAGGGAGGAAACAGGCCTGAGATTCTGAGAGTCGGGCCAGGCGACTCTCCCACCAACTGGCCCAGAAACCCATCCGGTTCCCCCGTGAAGGGCTCTTTCTGCCCCCTGCCACCTGAATTGTCAATGCCTTTGGCTGCAGCGTTCCACCCAGAAAAGTGGTGAAGCCTGAGAGGAGGAAGCCTGGGGCCTATCTGTCCCACGCCGTGAAATCCCCTCCATCCCTGGATGTAGAAGGTAGTGGTCAGCAAAACGGGCTCCTTGAGGGCAGAGCTTGGATGCCTCAGGGCAAGAGGGCTCAGGAAGGCTTCCTGTTTATGGCTCAGTGGCCACAAGAAACAGCACTCTGCTTTGTTCATACCCTGAGACAGCCCCGCTCTCACATTGTGGCCCAGGGACAGAGCTCACAGGGGAGGAGGTGGGAGGCTCAGAGAGCCATTGGCAAAGGGGTGTCTGCCCATCTCCTGGCCCTGCCAGCCATCAGCAGACAGGATCCAGCTGGGGAGCAAACCGAGGGAGGGGGGAGGGGCTGGGCTGGGGGAGGGCAGCCTTCAGACCATGCTGAATCCAGGCCCCTGCTGCAGGAGTGGGGGCCCTGCTGCCTGAGGGCCGGCGGCCTCGCTCCTGCTGGTCTCTGCCTTCTGGGGGGTCTCTCGGACCGCGCTGTAGCTGGCAGTGCTAAGGCTGGCCATGCGCCTCTGTGGCCCCTCCGCCCTGCACTGACACAGCTGCCGGAAGGCCGCCTGGAACTTCTGGGACATGAGGCTGTAAATGATGGGGTTGACGGCACTATTGGCATACACGCAGGTGCGGCAGAAGAGGAGCACCCGGGGGTCCAGGAAGGGCTCAGACACGAAGGAGTTGAGAAGCAGCAGCGAGCGGTAGGGCATCCACAGGACGGTAAAGGGCAGCACGACCACCACCAGCATCTTGGTGACCTGTGGGCGGGAGGGCCGGGTGGGCGACCGCCATCACCCTTCACGCCGTGGGGCCAGCAAGGCCGGTGGCCGAGCTGAGGCTGTGGCTCCTGCCTCAGGATGTCTTTGCTGAGCACATGATGAGAACATAATTGCAATATCACTGAAATTACTACAGTGTGCCCATTGGGCTCTACGCTAAACGTTTCCCGTTCAGGAGCCCAGGGCCAGCATTCAAAGCTGTGCTGGTCGACACACCGATGGAATAGCCCCACCTCAGGTGCCCACTGGTGCACCCCACCCCCCAGACCTCTCAGACCCCTAGGAAGTAAAGACCGGATGCCTGGAGCGGCACCTCAGGCATCTGTTGAGGGGTGCTGCAGGGAAGCCTGGGTGGATGCCGTTGCTGCTGGCACTCAGGTTACATTCCCTGCAGCGGGCCTTCCAGTGGTGCCATTGTCACCTCCACCTGGAGGAGGAGGAAGGGAATTCCCCAGCAGTCTGGTGGTTAAAACTCAGGGGCTTTCACTGCCATGGCCCAGGTTCAATTCCTGGTTGGGGAGCTAAGATCCCACAAGCCTCGAGGCAAAAAAAAAAAAAAAAGAGGAAGCAGAGGCTCAGAATGAGAGATCACACTGCCCAGGCACCATGAACCAGCTTCTCCTGCAGCCCGTCTGTGCACAGTCATGTCCCCATTCTGCACCCCATTCTGTTCTTTCAGCTCAGGAGTGAGTCACCAGGGGGCTGAGGACAGGAACATGCTGGGCTCCAACTTCCCGCTGCCAGCCCAGGGTCACGGCATCTCTGGGAGGGAGGAGGGTCAGTGGGAGGGGAACGGGCAGATGTCCTGGCCACACAGAGGAACAGCCATCACTGATCCATGCAGAGAACTTCCTGGGGATCCCAGAGCTGAGGGGAGGTCTTGGGGGTCCCCTCATCTGCTCTATCTTGGCCTCTGCCTGCTGCTGCCTCCAGAGTGCGGGGGGCAGGGGGTGGGAGTGGGAGTGCTGAAGCCAGCAAGCCTAAGCTGGGTGACCTTGGCCAGCCCCCTTCACCTCTCTGAGCCTCTGTCTCCACTTGTGGCATCAGGAGAATTGCAGTGTCCTTCAGGAATTGGTCTATGGGGAGGTGGGGGGTGAGGGATCCCCATGAAATCATTACTCCTTTGCCCCAGGAAGTGTGACGCCTGTGTGTCCATAGCTTTGTGCTGGGGCCATGCTACAGCCCACGTGAAAGCAGGCCTCGACTGCTCACGCCTCTGGTTCTCCGTTTCGCTCTGTCTCCCCGTCTGTCTCTTTATGTCTCTCTCCCTGTCTCTCTCTGTGTGTATCTCTGTCTCTCCTTCTCTCTGTGTGTCTCCCTCTCTGTCTCTGTGCCTCTGTCTCTTCCCCAGTCCCTCCCTCTCTCTGTCTCCCCCTCTGCTTCTCCCCCACTCACATTTCAGCTGCTCATCCACAGGGACCCTCTCTGCTCAGCCCTCCCCCCGCCTCAGCCTCTCCACGCGCCCATCGTGGTTACACGTGGGAGCCTGTACAAGCCTGTCTTGGGCTGCAAACGTGTACGGATCTCCTGAACCCTGAGATGTGGTCCCCCGTCTCAGAAGCCCCAGAGTTGCCCCAGTCAGGGCTGAGTGCTTCCAGGGCCCCCGGAGTGTCCACCCCATTCCCCCCATCCCTCCTGACCATTCGTGCACCAGGCCCTCCCTCTGTTTCTCCCCACCTGGACCACTTCCTGGGTATCTGCTTGGTCTGCCCTGCTGCCAATCTCAGATCTTAATTCAGTCGTCACCTCAATGAGGCCTTCTTGAACTTTCCCCTAAACTCTCTCTCTTCTGGGCAGTATTCTGCAGAACAAGTGTTTACTTGTCTTACCATGAGCCCCAAAGGCAGGATGTTTATCTTGTTCTGTTCTCCCCAGCTTCCAGCACCTAGAACCTCACCGAACACACAGTCGGTGCCCAGAGACACCTGCTGAGTGAGTGGGTGAACAGGGGTGGAGCCAGCACCCCCCGCCCCATCCATTCACCCCTTTGCCGAAACCCCCTGTCTCTGTACAAACTGCCCCCTCCCACCCCCCAGCCTCAGGAGACCTTGTACCTGCTTCCTGGATGAAGGGAAGCCTCTGGTCTCGCAGCAGCTGGCCCCCGCACCCCCGCCAGGCTCACGAGGCTGTCTCCCCAGGGCTCTTGCCTCCAGCTGGGCCTCACTGTCCCTGTGCTGGTCCCCAAGCTGTGGCAGGTGTGCCAGGGTGCTCTGGAACAAGACCCTTGCGATAAGTCCGGAGAGCACCGTGGCTGCCAGTAGGGGCGCAAGGAAGAAGACAGTGAAGTCTAGCAAGTAGATAGGTAGGTACAGGCTGCAGGCCACCTGGTAGCCGCACTGGAGGCCCCGGCTCCCACCAGCGTCCAGGTCCACCAGGAAGAACCAGAGCAGGCAGTACATGGACATGGTCCCCCAGACACCCACCACGACTCGCTTGGCCTGCACCATGGTGCACACGGTCTGTGCCCACATCGGGTGGCAGATGGCAATGTACCTGCAGGCCACAGGGCAGTCCTGTGACCCACCTGCCCTCCTGGGCTATTGGGCTGCAGTGGGGACACCTGACGCACTCGGCCAATCAGATTCCCCAATGAGGAACCAAATGCGATGTGATGGTTTAACTGGCCCTTTCACTATGGACCTGGGAGGTTGTGGAGATCTGGGGAGTGGAGTGGCCACATTGAGGCAGCCTCGGGGGCTGGCAGAGCAAGGCGCCAATCTCAAGAGGGGAGAGCGGGCCGAGTCAGAACACACAGCCCCTTAAGTTCTGGCCAGGCCCACGAGGCAGAGGTGCCCCTTCAAAGACCTTGACCTCTGTGAAAGTTCCAGTGGGCTTCCTACTGCCCACTACCAAAGGTCTCGGGCTAAGGGGTCAAGGACACTGTGACCCCAGATGGCACAGCGGGCAAGAGGCAGGACTGGGCCAGCGTATGTAAGTCAGAGGCCTCGGTTCTGTCCCCAATCTGTGTGGCCCTGGACAAGATGCTGAGTCTCTGGGCCAATGTGCCAAAGGCCACGCAGCTGAGAAGAAGCAGAGCTGATACTGAACCCAGTCAGCGGGCTTCAGCATCTACATCCTGAGAGGTGGGATTGCCTCTCAGGTGTTAACTTCAGAGCTGGAACAGGCCCAGGAGACTGTCCTGTCCAGCTCCCACATTCCCAAGGGGAACACCATGCCTGAGGAGTGCCAGGCTGCCTTGGCATCCTGCAGCAAGTCAGAGGCAGAGGTGAGATGAGAAACCCACTTCCAGGCACCTGCCCCCTCTCCACCAGGCTCCTCCAGGGTCTCACCCAGCACCCCTCTTCATTAACGGACAGCAGCCTCAGTTTACCAAGGATCACAGCCAGGAAGTCCTGAGCTGTTGGGGGGGGGGGGACTGGAGATGCACATACCTCTCCACTGTGAACGCCAGGATGGAGCAGGAGGAGGCATTGATGCCCAGATACTGCAAATAGGTGATGCCCAGGCAGCTGGCATGGCCATACACCCACTGCCCAGCCAAGCTCTCAGAGACAGTGGGCATCCCTGCAGCCACCAGCACTGTGAGGTCTGCCAGGGCCAGGCTGACCACGTAGCAGTTGGTGAGCATTTGCATGTCCCGGGTGGTCAGCACCACCAGGACCACCATGGCATTGCCCACGATGCCCACCACGCACACAAAGAGCCCCAGGAAGATGGAGACCCCCTTGTCTGCAGGGCCCGGGACAGCCTCACTGGGAGCCAGGGGCATGGTGCTGGGGCTGCCTGGCCCGCTCCCACTCTCCATGGTGGCTGCTCAGGCACTAGGGGGCAAGGGGATTCCAGAAGGTGTCCACACCGTTGGCTGGGGCCTCATGCCACGGGACAAACACTTGCCTCTCCCGAGAGCCCAGCCCCGGGGACTCACGGGGACCCAGCACAGGTGACGTGACTGGTTGGCCAAGAGAAGGACACAACGGGGACGCTCCTTCCAGTCTGTGCCATAAAGGTAGTCAGCGAGTCACCGGCTCTGCCAGTCTCAGTCTCCTGGTGCATAAATACAGATGGTCGTGCTTAAGACATGAGACGGCAAGGAGACTGAACTCAGAAGGACACATGTCGCACCTTGACTCAGTGCCTCCTGGATGCTTGGCGGCCCGCAGTCCTTTCACTAGGAAGCCACATGGCCTCTCCAAGTCCCGGCCAGCTCATCTGTGAAACTGCTTCTCAGGGATGCAGTGAGATCCCCACAAAACCAGGAGACACAGAGGGTTCTGGGCTGGGAGACTGGCTCTGTCCCACATCTGTTCCTAATGTTAACATTAAGGCTTTAATTCCCCTGGGCCTCAGTCTCCACACCTGGAGACCCTAACAGTAGCTCAGTCCCAGGGGGCTGTGCAGAACGAAAGGGACAGGCACACCAGGGTGTCAGGGGCCCCACACGGACTCCACTCCCCCAGCTCTGGAAACACCAGTCAGCCACCCACCTCGACCCATCACAGGGCGATGGAGCAGTGAAGTCATGGCTGGGACTCAGGCCAACAGGTGAGGTCCTGGTGCCCACACGGCCCTACAGCACACCTACACACGCACACCACACACCACCCACTCCTCCACCCTTTAATTCTGTGGGTGTCACTGGCCAGAAGGGCCCCCGCCAGCTCCCTCAGAGTCCCGTCTGGGCCCCTGGTGGCCGAGCGACCCAGGACCAGAGTGGAGCCCTCCTTGCACAGCAGCACACAGAAACCCAGGCACACAAGCTAGACACACACAACACACACGAAACAAAATCCCCCTGTACAGCACACCCAACACACACCGACCCAGAGCCCAACATACATACGTGTCCCCGCTTTGGCGCGGACATAGACACACACTCAACTTCGCACACACAGGTACCAACCACACAGGGACCCAAATGCATGCGTGGGTACATAACTGCACATCACAACTTGCCCACAACCCGGGCATCTGTGTTACAACTACAGATGCACACTGTCCACGTTCATACACCCAGGTGCTCAGAGACACAAAACGCCACATGCCTGTGCGCCCAGGCTCCTGCAGCCACTCCCCAGACACGGAGCCCCTCACCCTCCTGAACACGAGCCTCCCTTCACTCTACCTGGAGGAGACCTTGTTGCCCCTGGAACCCAGCGGCCGGCACGATCCCAAAGGCTGCATTTCCCTCCAGCTGGCAGAAGCCAGCAGCCACCAGTCCGGGGGAGAGGGGGGTGGAAGAGAACCCAGAGCTCTCCCAGAAGTCCCTCTTCCCCCATGGGCAAGGCCCCCTGCAGCTCACCCATCTCTGCCACCTCGGCATCCCAGGGTCCCCTACCTCCCCACTTCCATCTCTTCCTCCCCTGCACACAAGACTTTTGCCAAAGAACATTCCCCCAGGCGGCCAGCAGGGACCACTCTCCCCTAGCCCAGGTGAGCCCCCAGGAGAAACTTGCAGTGCTGAGAACTTACCAGGTCAGGAGCCTCCGGGCCTTTCTCCTCCTCCTCCTCCCAGGGAAAGAGGGAGGGGAGAGACGGTCCCGCGGTCCAGCGGCACAGGCTTCTGTTCTGCAGGTTGCAGTGCTACACAGATGTGCTGAGTGCTCACAGACACGCATGAGGCCCTGCCAACTTCTCCCGCCCCCTGTCGTCCCCCCTTGTCCCCCTTAGTCCCCCCTCGTAGGGCTGAAGTCAGCTGACGTGGCTTCCCCAGCAGGGAGACCCCTGAGAAGAAATCCCAGGACCCCAGCTTCCCCCAGAGCACAGGCTGGCCAGGCTGGGAAGGACCCCATTAAGCCTGCTGAGCCTCTGGAGCCCTGCAGGACGAGGCAGAGACCCAGGAGGGTGGGGGTGGACCAGTCCTTTACTCCCTGGGGGCCCCCCACTTCCATCTGCAGAGGAGGGAGCACAGAGTTGAGTGCCTCCTGCAGGGTGTGCCTGCGGGGAGACTGGGACTGCGGTTGGGGCATGAATGTTTCAGGTGAAGGATTGGGACTGGGCCTGGGCCTGGGGGCTCCAGGGAGCAGGGGACCCCATGCTTCCTGCTGGGCTGGGGCTGCCGCTGTGTTCCCCATGGCCAACACACCTCCTCTTGGCTAGCTTTCAGGAAGAGACCCCAAAGGGGCCCCACAGCTGGCTCAGAAATGAGGAATCCTGCTATGGCCTCCAAATGGCCATGGGCCTGGCTCCTCTGAGGCGTTTAAAGTGCAGATTTCATCCCCAGGTCCATCCTCAGGCTGTGAGTCGCAGCCCACACCCCCAGGAACCCAGGAGGAGCCTGGGAAGGGTGCAGATTCCTGGTCACCAGGTCCAGCATCCAGGAGCCAGGCCCTTGAATTTCGTCTCCCAGAAAGTCCAATGACAACAAGTGTCTTATCTCTTTTTTTTTTTAACATTTTGATTTTGGAATGTAATATACTCATATAAACATGCTTGAAATACAAAAGGACACGTGAATGAATAAAGTGGGCGTGCGGATACCATCGCCCTGCCCTGGCTTACATCCTGGTTACTGTCTGCTGCTGCGACCACCAGGTGCTTTCTGTAACCAGCACAGCGGACTGTGTCCTGCTCATTCCACTGACACTGGCAGGTGGGCATCTGCCTGATTATGACTGTCCGGATCATCCATTCACCCCTGCTGTATGGCTCTCCACCACAGGCTGGGCTGCAAAATGTCCACACAGGATGGACTGTTGGTGGACTTCTATGTCGTTTCTAGTTTGGGGGATCACAGATGCCACTGCTGTGAACTCTCCTGTACGTGAGTCCTGGATGAGTACATTTTGGGAAAGGGCGGCGGAAGAGATGGCATATTCCCTGCCCTGGAAGGGGCACCCCAGCTCCCCCAGGGCTTCCTGAAATGCTGGGAAGCCACACGGAGGGCTCCATGGTGCCTGGTGGACAGAGGATTTCTCTGCCTCTCCTTGTGACCACCCTCAGCCCAACCCCCACCCCCTCCTCCAAACTGGCCCTCCCAGGGAATTCCTTCCCAAGAGAGCTCTCGACTGCTGTCCTCCTGGCTGGTGCTGAAATCACCTGGCTGGACTAGAATCTGTCTTCAGCTTCACGCGGGGCCCTCTCTCTATATCACTCCTCCTGCCCATTGGTGTGGGGGTCCGGCTCCTCTTTTGGACAGGAAAGTCACCAAAGAGACAGAGGCATCGCCAGCTAGCACCTACGTAGAGAGCACCTCACTTTCCCTGAGTGCTCACCCACTAGCTTGCCTGTGGACAGACCACATTCCTCAGTTTCCTGTGTCCATACCCTCCATGTGCCCCAGGAGTCCTGCAGCCAGCAACCCCCTCCCCAGCAGCACAGAAACTCTCTGTGTCTTCTCCAGGTACAGGGTGGTCACAGAGCTCTTGTTCATAATAAGAGAACTCCCTGACAACTTAGATGTCCAGAGTGGTAAGGACCTGATGCTGTTAAAACTGATGCCTTGGAGAAAAACTAATTGGCACATGATCCATTGAATTAATGAGGCTTCCCGGGTGGCTCAGATGATAAAGAATCCTCTTGCAATGCAGGAGACCCAGGTTCGATTCCTGGGTTGGGAAGATCCCCTGGAGAAGGGAATGGCTACCTACTCCAGAATTCTTGCCTGCAGAATTCCATGGACAGAGGATCCTGGTGGGGTACGCTCTATGGGGTCACAAAGAGCTGGACATGAGTGAATAACTAACACTTTCACTTTTCCGTTGAGTTAGAGGGCAGGCTGCAAATAGCAGGCGAGCATTCCCTCCTGTTTGAAGAATGTATTCATGTCTAATAGCCGCCGTCCACCAGGAGCTTGGCATGTGCCAAGCATGGGGCATGGCCCTAGGCATCTTGTGTAACCATCACAACTATTCCTTCATGGTGACAACTTCATTGTTGCTGTTTTCTGGAAGAGAAAGCAGAGCCTCACAGATGCAAGTCGACTGCTCAAAGCCACACAGCTGATTAAAGGCAGAGCTGAGGTGTGAGCCCAGATCTCTCCTTCTACAAAGTCGGTGTCCTCAGCCTCAGGGTGGATGGTCACCACTGTGCCTGTGCTGTGACTCCAGAAATGCCTGGAGAAAGGGAACACCCGGTGCTTGGGAGCCTACCCTGATGAATGTGGGTGATTCTGTAGTTAGAAAAAGTGACAAAATGCCTGGCTGAAGAGCTGCCTTCCTAGTGAGATCCTTCCTGTATTTGGTCCCAAGGCCAGAGCAGGACGTGGGCAGGAGGAAGGTGACACTTCCTAAAATGTCAGCCTCGAGTCCTTGGACTCAGGGGCTTAGCAAGCGGTGTAAACATCCAGCTGGGGGGTTCCAGACTCAGGATGTCACAAACAGCACACCCCAGGGTGCTCCAGGGCCCAGGGTAGGGATTGGTGTCTGGGTGAGACCCCAAAGAAACACCACGTATCTGACTAGCACACACTAACATGGCCACTCAACTACCCTCTGTCAATACCCAAGGCCCTCCTCCTGGCCGTGCCGACACCTGCTGGAACCGTCTAGATGTCCCCGCAGCCCAGGATCCAAAGAGTAAATGTGTGGCCCTACATCAGAGGACTTCTGGTTTAGGGCCCTACATCAGCCCTTCTGGCTGGCCAGTGGCCATGCTGTCTGGTTATCAATGAATATCTGAGAGGGATGCCTGGGTCTTGCATGATGGGGTCTACTGGACAGAAAGGAGTAGGCAGCTCCAAGCCACCTTCCGTGAGGAAGGGGTGGGATGGGAGGTGCTCCTGGGAGGTGATGTCATGTTTGTGCAAAAGGAAGCAGAGATAGAAGTTTGCATAAAGAAATGAGGCCAGTTGGTGCTAAAAGGCAAAAC